ACAAGTGTTGGCTAGCGACTGGAGAGGAAGTCATTCTGGGTATGGGAGGGGGCGACTACGCAATTTTCAGGATGTGACAAGAGGGTGTTGTAGGGAGCACACTGGTTGCTGAGCCACGAGGACTGTCAGGTCTAGATCTTTGATGAGACTGGTCAGTATGGGATGGAGCGCTAATGCATATCTAGAAGGAGTGCAAGTCCTGAGTCGTCTTGATGGTTTGTAGGAAAAATAGTCAAGTGATCTTTTGGCGAGTCGAATGGTTCATTGGGGAGTCACTTTTGGCGAGAGGAGTCGACTGCTTCTGCCTTTCGTGTCGGCATGAGTGACATGCTGCTTAACGAATAGGCGGAGTCGTCTTCAAATTGTCCTTGAATCGTTAAGCTAGTCGGAAGGCATGCTTTTCCAAACTAGGATAATACTTTTTTGCCAAACAGCTGATCTGGATAGTCGAATACCCATAACAGTATTTGAAAAGTTTTAAGGCTTAATTGTACTTAAATGCCATATAGTTTCCCTGATCTTGCACTTAAGTGACCTCTTTTTTAAACAAAATAGAAAAAATGCCCCAAAGCATATAAATTTTGTAGATAAATGCCTTAACGTTTTTAAAATGTTGCATGTTGATGTCCTCTTGTTTGCTTGATATTGCATATAAATGCCCCAAAACTTGTAGATGGCCTCATTTAAATACCCTAAAAATTTAAGAGTTTCACTTTAGTACCCTCTGTCGTGTGGCAAAGAGAAAAGATAATGTCGTCTGAGTTTTTTGACTATGCTGCATTTATCTGCAATATTTTAATACTTTAGGGCATTTTGTTGTTGAGTTTTAAACTATAGGGCATTTAAGTGCAAGATCGGATAAACTGTAAGGCATTTAAATGCAATTAAACCGAAGTTTAATGATTATTTGACTAGTAGTTGACTAAAAGTGGATCAAAGTAATAGTACTTAAGACGAATTTTATGTCGTTTTTATTATTTTACACGTTTGTTTTATTTTTGCTCTTTCAACGCATATCCAGAAATTGGATTTTTTTTAAAATCGACCGATTTTACTAAATATTTAGCAAAATCGACATCTTTTTAGCCAAAGGTCGATTTTAGAAAACGTTCAGCTGAAAACATACGGGAGTAATAGTCCTGTATGTTTTCAAGTGCACTAATCTCCCAGAAAACATACAGGACTAGTAGTCTCATATGTTTTTTGAGAGCACTACTCCGTCATTAGCACATTGAAAACATATGGGACTAGTAGTTCCGTATATTTTTTGGGATGTGTTTTTTAAAATCGACCTTTTTTTTTACTGTTGACCAAAAAAAGATCGATTTTGCTAAATATTTAGCAAAATCGATCTATTTAAAAAAAACCAAAAATTTGGTAGTAATAAATGAGGAAAGCCTGGGCATTAAACACGCACCGTGTAAAAATGGTAGCTGCACATGATGCAAACGTAGCTCTGGAAACTCCCATTAACTCTTTTTCATCTCCCCCAAATTCTCTCTCTCTCTCTCTCTCTCTCTCTCTCTCTCTCTCAAATCCATGGCCTCCTCAAATTCTTCATCTCCATTAAAGATTGGCATCATGGGGTTTGGTCCCTTTGCTCAGTTCTTGTCACAAACACTTCTTAAACGAGGCCACTCTCTTTCAGCAGCTTCTCGCTCTGACCACTCTCTTCTCTGTTCTCAAATGGGCGTCCATTTCTACAGGTACTAAACTTATATATAACGTTAGTATATACATAAGTAACATAACTAGGTAATTTATAAGAGTAACATTTTTTCCCCCAGGGATTTCGATGAATTGATCGGATCAGACGCTGAGGTTGTGTTGCTGTCTACGTCCATTATATCCATTGATAATGTGATCCGTTCGGTATCTTTCGATCGTCTTCGAAGGCCTCTGCCTCTGTTTGTTGATGTGCTCTCTGTTAAGGAATACCCAAAGGAGCTCCTTCTTCAAGTAAGCTTTTGTGTCTTATTTGTTCTCAATTATAATAAATTTTTTGAAACGGTCTATGAGATTTCAAAACAGACTTCAAAAAATGTGTGTATTGTGTCCTAATTATACTTGAGTAGGATAAGTATATAGGCGTCAATGCGGATGCGTTCTGATTCCGTATGCTATTGAATTTGTACTTACTTATCCCTCCTATGACCATTAGAGATGTGAAGTGGTAACCATTGGCAGTAAAATGCCTTATTAATTTCCCTATAAATTTTGGAAGGCAAATTTATTTATTTTTTTAAAATGGAGTTAGGGGAACAGCTAGAATAGTTTAATGTCAAGGGGAATACATGTATAAGTTACTTCCTCACCTTGTATATTCTCTATCCATTTTGTTCTCCCTATAACAAATTTTATTGGCATCTTATCTCAGTTACTTTAAATTAAAAAAAAAAGAGGAGCATCAATTTGGTTTAATTGTGTGTTTGATGATAAAAGGCATGAGACGAGATTTAGCCATAAAATTATTCCAAACCATACAGAAACAAAGTCGGCGAGATAATATCTTGTCTTTTCTTATAGTTTCTTCTTCCTCTAATGATAATTGTCAGAAGTTAAGTAAATTGAAACTAGTAAAAATTTATTATCTTGGTTATATTAGCTTACCACGATTATCTAGTTAATTGTGTATGATACCTTCTAAAGTATCCCTAAAATTTGCTAGATATTACAAGTGTAACTTTCTTGTGTTGTCTAATTAAGGTATTGCCAGAGGAAGCAGATATTCTTTGCACTCACCCCATGTTTGGACCAGAGAGTGGGAAGCAAGGATGGAAAGGGCTCCCACTGGTTTATGAGAAAGTCAGGATCAGAGATCATAGTCTCTGTCAAAACTACTTGGAAATATTCCAATCTGAGGTGAGAAAAAAAATTAACTCAAGAGTTTTAATTGATCGTGATGATGACTCTCTATTCTCAAAAGGGTTGCATAATGGTGGAGATGTCCTGCGAAGAACATGACAAGGTTGCAGCAAAGACCCAGTTCCTTACTCACACAATTGGAAGGTATTTTCTTCGATCTTTCGGTGTTAATTAAGTGACCATTAACGAGAAAAAGTGTGAGTTCTCATTAATGTGTTCTGAAATTTAAAATACCCTGACGATAAGTTAACATGGATCATCATGTCATGATAATGCTAATATTAGAGTAATATCAACTGTAATGCTTTTTTTTTTTTTTTGAGATAAAAGTACTGCAATTGTTATAACTTCAAGAAATTATTAATAGATTGTAGCCACTAAAAGGTTTGTTATCTTCTTCTGTACAGAGTTTTGGCTGAAATGGAGATTGACTCCACACCAATGGACACCAAGGGTTTCCAAGCACTGCTTCAATTGGTAATCTTGTTAACAAACTTCTACTATAAGCTCGAGTTTTTTTTTACTGAAAGTCTTCGCCTGATTATATATATACATATGTGCAGAATAAGAACACTGTGAAGGATAGCTTTGATTTGTATGGAGGGCTATTTGTACACAATAGATTTGCAAAACAAGAGGTATGAAATCTTAAGCTCAAGCGAAAATGTGTTGTTTCATAACAGACTTTAGCTTAGATGCCTGTAAAATTTGTCTATAAACAGCTGGAGAATCTAGAGCTTGCCTTGAAGATTGTGAAAGAGAAATTGCTGGGCAGCGCTAATGGAGTCAGTGATCTTTGAATTTTTAATAGAATATATGATCAGTTATGCTATATATATTACGAGTAATTATTCTGTCAACTAGGAAATAATTGCGCTGAGCAGTCAATTTTATAAGGAAAATTAGAGGACAGTGAGAAAACCTTAATGCTTTGTTATGAAAGTTTTGAAAATCTTTAACACTTTTTAGGAGCGTTTTAGTCATTATTTTGATTGAGTTCTCTTTGATAATTACGTACTAGTCTCTAAGTCCTCCATCATTAGCTTTACTCGCTTTTAGCGCATAATTAATAGTGATTTGATCCTTTGTGTTGCCCCTTCTTTTTCTCCCTTTGCAGTTTTAACTTGAGTAATGATTTTATCAATTTCCGTAAAAATTGCTTCATGAATGATGTTGCTTTTAATTAGTATCGCTATAGAAAATTCCGCAAAACAACACAGATCAGTCTGACACAAGTACAAAATCTATTGAGAAGATTAAAAAGGGTTAATCTCACTTAACCCCCTGAACATTGAGGGGTTTTGCATATTAACGATCGTGATGTTTATTTAATCCACTTAAACTCTGCTGAACTTGTTGCACTAATCCATTTAATCCCCAAAACCCTTCAAAGTTCAGGGAGGCTAAGTGAAGTTTACCTTAAAATATTATTTGCGGGCATAACACGTGATTTTAGATGCACGAGAAGTATGACTCGCAGCTGTTGAAGTATCATCTATCCATCAAGATAATCACATTGTAAACCCTCAATTCACATGGGACTATGTACACTATAAAAAAACGTTGATACGATAAGATAAATATCAATTAAGTGCAATACAAAAAGATCTTATAGTCCTTTTTTATTGAGATCATTCTTCAAAAGATTTATTATGGAGATCTGGAAGAATGTGATGATGACGAGATGCAAGGGTAGCACTCCTCGAAGAATGATGATCAAAAAGACAAGGTCGAGGATGCTTTCTGAAAGCCTGAGCAAGAATATTTTACCAAATTGAAATATAGCTACCCCCCCTCCTTTTTCTCTCTAGTTTAGATTAGTAACTTCTAGTGAAAAGCGTGAGGAAAGAGCCCATATACTCCTAGCAATGAACAGCTCAAATTGAATCTAAAATAAAATCAGAATTCTAAAATCAACAACTTAACCATCGATGGTCATGTTCAATCATCGATGATACTTAACCATTAATGACAGAGTTAAACCATCAGCATTCGGAATATCTTTGGACAATTTAGTCATCTATGGTCTCTTCAATTATTAATGGTCAATTAGTTAGGTCCAAAGCATTCAGAAAAGCTATTATAATAGTTATTCTGATAACCAAGTTTAAAGTTATAGTCCATGAAAGTTTTAGTCTCCGTACATGTTTCTAACTTGCTACTGATTGTTTCAACCTTATCTCGCTAAAACATTCATATCTCAAACATACCTAAATTGAATTTCATGTATTTTTGTAGATTCATGACAAAGATACGAACACTCTCATATTCTTAAGATTGAATTTAGCTTCTAATATATTTTAAGAATTAGCTGTGATTAACTTGACATCTTGCTTCATTCACTTCTGAACTTGATTCTAAATTCTTATAACCTTGATACAACTCTTCAATATATTATAATATAAAATTTTGTTATTTATCAAACTAAGTTGATTGTATGGACATGGTCCTAACAATCTCCTTGATAATAACAAACCGAAAAATTTAAAATTAAAAGAACATATGTTTGAGATACATAAAATGTGTAAAAACTCAGTTTTATGACATAGAAATATGATATGCAAGCTCTCCCTATATATGTACATACATGAAATATGAGATACAAGTTTTTCATGCTCCCTCTACAACAGGGCTTTTCTTGTTTCAGAACTCTCCCTTTCTCCCAAAAAGTAAAATTTTCAAAAGTTTTTAAATTTTTTAATAAATTTTCATTTTTCAAATTTCAAATCCCCCCCACCCCCCACACACCCACCAAAGAAAACCCTTTGTTATTATCAGAAGAACACAATACTCAAAGCTTTCCAAATGGAGACAAATAATTAATATAAACCAATATTATCCAAATAAAATAGGGAGAATACAGCCCAACCAAATCCATAACTTAAGACATAGGAGAATAGTACATGTTGCAAAAAAAAGTGTGATAATCAAGTGCAAATGAACTATGGATATAGTCGGTAATATATGAGCAAATAATAGGATGTGGCCTACCTCAACCTTTATCTAAGGATCACAATATAATTCTATCATCTCAACCATATAGGAATATAAGAATTTATAAGAAAGAAATGATATTGTTTGGTCGGTGATATACATCATCTCTAAATATATATAGCATTTAGTGTAGGATGGATACCCTTTGAGTTTTGCATTAATTGAGAATCCACAATTGTGGATCTTTGACCATTTTTTAATTAATACACTTATTTTCATGTGGATTCTATATGAATGTGGATCTTTGATCACCTTTTAACAAATACAACTCATACTTTTCATTTAATTAAGCATGGATGCACATTGGTAATCAAAATATTGTGAATGAGATGACATGGTGGGGCCAACCCACGTGAAGGGAGTTTTGCGTGTGTGAAAGGCTAAGGCTGTGTGAACAGATAGGTCTGCCAAACCGCGTGAAGAGACTTCACGAGCCCATGAACCCGAACCCGATATTTGAGAAGCTATATATTTCTCTTCCGCAGGTGCTAGGTTTCCGTGCGAAGGCAGGGGAAAGGTGAGGAACTTTGGATTTGGCGGCTGCGAATTATTTCTTGGATGTGGGCGTGCCAAGCAGAGAAGAAACAAAAGATTGTGTGTGCAGTCTGTTTTTTCTTTCTTGGGCAGCGGGCAGAGTCGATTTGAGAGAGTTTTCTTTTGTGCATCCCTTTGAGAGAGATATTGTGAGGGGTTTGAGAGTATTTGTTTGAGGGTTTAGATTGAGTGATTGTAAACCCTAGTTGTATTCTCTCCCTCTAATAGTAGATCTCCCCCTCCTTGCCCCGTGGACGTAGGCAGTTTGCCGAACCACGTAAAATTGGTTGTTTGAGTTTGTGGCCATTGTAATAGTTTTAGGATCCCTCGACGCGCAGTCCTAGAGCTGACGAGAGGAAGAGCTAATATCCCACTTTGATGGGATATTAGGCTTTCAGATTCTTGTTCCCTTTGAGAAACAAGAATTCTTATCGATCTTTCTCTCTTATTGTGCACCAGAAACTCTGCCGAAATTTCCGCTGCGCACAACAAGTGGTATCAGAGCCCAGATTCCAGATCTAGGGTTTGGTTGGAGGAGTAGATCAATTTGGAGGCTCGTTTAGGGCTTCGTTGGTGATAAATGTGAGATCTTTTTGGTAAAGACTCTATCTTTTTAGTTTTGGATCTATTCTTCGTTCGTTGGTGCGTAAGATGTCGGGGAAAGAAGGTGCTTCGGGAGTCGAGGGTGGTTCTTCTGGCGTGAAGACTATTCAGAGTTTGAATATCCACTCTATGAAGATAGATGTGGAGAAATTTAATGGCACAAACAACTTTGGATTATGGAGATGCGAGGTTTTGGATGCGCTGAACGCGCAGAATTTGGAGGATACCTTGGAGTTAGATGGCAAGCCAGATGAGATTGAAGAGAAGGTTTGGAAAAAGATGAATCGAACGGCGTGTGGTGTGATTAGGTCTTGTTTGACTCAAGATCTAAAATATGATGTGATGAATGAGACTTCTGCGAAGAAGATTTGGGAGATTCTCGAAAGCAAGTATTTGACCAAGAGTGTGGAAAATCGCTTGCATTTGAAGAGGAGACTTTATCGTTTCCAGTTGAAGAAGGGAACCTCCATTAGAGATCACATGAACCACTACACAAAGCTTCTTGCGGATTTGGCGAATGTGGATGTCAAGATTGAAGATGAGGACAAGGCGTTGCTGTTGTTGAGTTCCTTGCCCGACGAGGAATATGAGACCTTCGTTCTTACTCTGATTAATGGGAAGGCATCACTTTCGTATAGTGAGGTCACCGCTGCACTTGTGAATTATCAGCTTCGAAAGAAGGATAAGGAGGCTTCGGTTGAGCCGGTAGCGGAGGCGTTGGTCGCAAGAGGGAAGGGTCCAAACCGAAAGAATTGGAAGTCACAGTCTAGAGTAGGAAAAGATCAGTGTGCTTGGTGCAAGGAGACTGGTCATTGGAAGAAAGACTGCCCAAAGCTCGACGAATGGATGAAGAATAAGCAGAAGGGAAAAGGGAAGCAACCATCATCAGAAGCAAACATCGTATCGGATGGTAATAATTCTGACTCTTCTATTTATTCGCTTTCTATCAGTCCTACAGATAGCTATTCGGAGGAATCTGAATGGATGTTGGATAGTGGTGCGACCTATCATGTGTGCCCTAGAAGGGAATGGTTCTCCAGTTTTGAGAAGCTGGTGGATAGTGGTGTGGTGTACATGGCTGATAATCGTGTATGCCGGATCCTTGGGATAGGAAGAATTCACATAAAAATATTTGACGGGACGGTTAGGGAGTTGATGTGAGATATGTTCCTTCTTTGAGGAAGAACTTGATCTCGATTGGAGCTTTGGTTGGAGAGGGTCTGAAGGTTCGTGTTGAGGACATGGTTCTCGAGATTGTGAGAGACTCTCGTATTTTGATGAAGGGCGTCAGGAGAAATAACCTGTATTACTTGACTGGAGGTATAGTGGCAGGTGGAGAGCTGGCGACTTCTATTGATTTGACTAGACTGCGGCATTTGGGGCTTGACCATTCCATTATTGATTCCTCGCATAGATTGAAAGAGGGTGCGAAGACCTGCAGTTTGAAGTCCAGTGAACATGTTGATGTGAGCAAGAAGACCGAGGTGAAGTGTGGCACCTCTATTCACCGTGCTAAGGGTCGTTCTGGAGGAGTTCATGTGGATGTTTGGGGACCTTCCAAGGGGGCATCATTGGGAGGTAATAGGCGTTTGGTTTCCTTTGTTGGTGACTGTTCTAGGCGTGTTTGGGTTGCAACCAAATCCCCGATGGATAAAGTCCTAGTAGTCTCTAACAATTTGAAGAAGTGTGTGATAGACAGAAAGGTGAAGGTACTCCATTCTGATTTTGATGAGAGGTACAAGATGGACCTGTTTCTGTATTGGAGCCGAGCTCACGGCATTTCGAGACACTTCATTGGAAAGGAAATCTTGGGACAACTAGATAGGGTGGCAAATTT